AAAGGCATGTTTTAGAGTCTCTATTGTCCAATTAATGATGAAATCAATTACTAAATTAGTTGACAATTATTTCAATAATCAACCAATCACAGTTAAATATGATTAATTGATTCAGCGCTACTAAATAGTATAAACAAAAAATAAATATATAGTAATAAACAGTGATTAGGTTTCCAAATAATTGCCAAATGATTTACACAAATATACCACAATTTGACAACATTTTAAGATTGTTTAAGATATAATTTAGAGATCAGGAATTAACAATATCATAAATATGCATCACTTGCATTCAGCATTAATACCGTCAACATAAGTATCGGATATAGAGTTTGAGTATCAATACTTTTGACAACTCGAATTGTATCTCCAGTTTTGATTTATTGCTGCACAAGTCTTACTAATTTATACAGTTGTTAGTAAACTGGAGCAGACTTGATAATGTTTTTATTCAACCATGTTCGACTGCATCCCTTTCCATGGAATCTGAAGTTTTCTGCCATGTAGTCTTGCAGTCTTTCTGCAGTACATTGGGAGGTCTTTTTGGCTGTTTTCAGATTCAATTGAACACTTCCCTCTTAATTTATCCATAGAAACTCAGCATGTCCAAATGTTAAGAATGATAAGTCTCACTGTAGCTCCGTATGTGTTGGACTGCAGGGGCTGTTGGTGCCTGTGAATTTGCCGGCTGCACTCCCAAGTTCTGTGAGGACAACGGATTGAGGTACAAAGCAATGGTGGAGATCAGGAGGCTCAGAGGTCAACTTACTAATGCAGGTACACAAATGCACACATACAGAAAATAACATAAACCTGCAGCAGGAAGTGAAATGGAGATCCCTGATCTTCCCTCCTTTCAGTGAACGCTGTGTGCCCGGAGGTGGGAGTGTTTGTGGACCCTAAGATGGCTCCACCTACAGAACATCAGGTGGTCTGTCTGCGGCAGATTGTTCTAGCTGGGCTGGGAGACCACCTGGCGAGACGCGTCCAAGCAGAAGACATGCTGGACCCAAAGTGGAAGAATGCCTATAAGGTAAGCAGATCCTAAAGTTTGGGTTGTGATAGAAGATAGCATATTTTAGTTGATTCCCTTCATTTTGTCACTGTTTTCTTTTATCATAGACTCCCCTGATGGACGACCCGGTGTTCATTCATCCCAATTCTGCTTTGTTTAAAACGTTGCCAGAGTTTGTGGTCTATCAGGAGATCATGGAGACTTCTAAAATGTACATGAGAGGTATGGGAACCCCACCGTGTGGAAGGGCTCAAAGGTCTGGGATGAGTTTCAGATGTTCCAGGTTATAGCCAAGGTCCGGATCACTGTTTTAAAGATCCTGGTAATTATGGGAAAACAGGATAATAATAAATGTTCTGTGAAGAATTTTTATTTTATTATAAATTGTTTTGATTAAAAAGTTGTAGCTATGACCTTTAAAGAGTTAGCAATTTACCTATTATCATTATAAAGTGTAAAGGGGTGAAATAGGATTACAAACTTAGTATAAGGAGACATTAGAAATAAAGCTGCTGATCTGTTGCTGGTGGTGCTTATTAAAGATAAGTTGTTTAATCATTATTTTTTCGAACATGGAAAATAGACTTTTATTTAGGTTACTGACTGGATTTTGAAAGTCCTCATAAGGATGATGATAAAGAACTCATCCTAAGGAGGAAATCCTCGTCTTTTTCACATTTTTTAGGTTGCTGGGTCATTCATGCATCCCTTTGTTTCCACAATCCCACCTTCTACATCCATGTACAAATGGTCTTATTGCTCCGCAGTTCAACTTGTATGATGAAAATTGATTAAATAATCTGCATGTTTAAGTCAGAACAGTAAAGGGGGATTCCGTAAAAGTTCAAAAACATCTTTGGTTTCCAAGATTTGAGATTTCAAATCTTGGAAACCAAGTCCAGTGGATGTTTTTGAACTTTTACGGAGTGACTATGACCTGGATGACTGGGAATCCTCATCAGCAGTAAAGGGAGATATTTTTCCTTTTTTCATTCCTTTTTTTCCTGTCTGCTTCCCTCTTTTTCTCTCTACTTTTACTTCCATTTTCACCCCCTTTCTTTCTTCTCCTCTTTATCTATTCCAGTTAATTTTTGCATTTTTTTTTTCGTATTTGTAAATACAGTAAATATAATCTAAGCTCTCTGCTAATTTGTTTTCGTAAATGTTCAGAACCTGAACTTCATAAATATGTATCAGCTCTGTTCCCTTTATGTGACTCCATCTTATGAGAATATTTTCTTGTTCTTCCTGTCAGGTGTTTCAGCTGTGGAAGCAGAGTGGGTTCCACAGCTCCTGCCTCAGTACTGTCACTTCGGCTCTCCTCTAGACTCTCCGGTGCCGTGGTTCTGTTCCTCCACCGGCACCATCAGATGCCACAGATCGAGCACATTCTGTAAGTTAATTTAGTTACTGAGCGGCAAAGCTGACTGATTCTTCAGCCTTTATTTCATCTTTTTATGTCTCCTTTTAGTCCGGATCGGGTGGCAGCTGCCTGCAGTGGAGATGGAGTATCCTGAAGGTTTGGAGCGGTACCGGCTGTTTGCCAGGTTTCTTCTGGAGGGACAGGTACAACAGCATCCCTTGCATCTGTTTTGTACTAAATCCTTTAATTATATAGTAAACTATATATCCTAGCTGTTGAAGAAAAATCTTTCATTTAAAAAATATAACTTATAAAATAAAGAAAGCTCTTTCTTCTAAATGTACAGTTATACTTTTTGATCAAAGTCAGTTGTTTTTTTGTTTTGTTTTTTTATGAATATTTTTCACTGTATATTGATGGAAACACATGCAGGTAAATAAAAATAAATAACGATTATTTTCACAAAGAAAAAAGATTTACACAAGAAAAACAAAATTGATAAAAAATGAAAATTAAGAGTTTTATTTATAATTTTCCTCCATTTAAATTACCGGTGTCTTCAATTTACAACAGCATGATTTAAAAAAAAAAAAATGTCATTATAAATATTAAATTTGATTAAAAAATAAAGCGCCCCATACATATTATGTCATTTAACATTAACTATATCTGGTTCACAGGTTTGTCCCAAACTAAAGAAAAATACAGGCCACCTTCTGTCGAACCCTTCCATCATGATGAAAACTTGGGCAAAGTAAGTTTTTTTTTGTAAATATTGTAGAAGGTTGCTGAATATCTCCATTTGTACTGATAAAATTGATTTCTTCACTGCAGACTGTCATGTAATTTAAATATTAGAGACAGGCTTGCATTGTGTAAAAGAAAAAAACTATATGTAAAAAAACTTTTACATATTTTTCCTACCTATTTGCTTTAATTTGGCCTAAAATAGTTATATTTGAGTTTCTTAAATAGTCTGCAAAGGCCTGGAATTTGGTTAAAAGGATAAACCAGGCTGAAGTGACTATAAGTAAAGAATATTTTTAAAATTTGCACTTTAGACTTTATTCCTAATCTTTTTTTTTATATGGTATCCTTGTATCTGTTCATTGTCTATCATGTTTTTACTCTGAAAACTGAGATAAAAAGGGCTGTTGAATATTGACAGATAAAATTGTTGCATCTTTTCTTTTTTTAGACTTCAGCCTAGAACTGAAGCTTTACTTGGACCACTGGTTTCAAGAAGGGTCGACAGCAGAGATGCTCTCCACTCTATCTGGAGGACTGAAGAGAATTGTGAGGATCTAATGCTGTTTTTGTTTTTATCTGAGTGTCGTTGATATGTTTTCTAATTTATTTTTTCCACCCTGTAGTTCTGTTGTCTGCCTACTGCCAGTGGTTACCTGAGGCCATGCACCAGGAAGTCACCAAACTCTGGCCTCCCATTTAAAGGCTGAAGACAGAACAGGGAAGAGACTGAGCAAAGCCTTGGCCACAGTAGTCTTTATCAGATTGTACAGATTTTTATGCAACTATAACACCACAATACCTACTTTTTCCAGTTTTTATTGTATACATTAAGTCTGTGACCAGTAAAAATATTTGTGGGGAGGAATGTCTTTGTTTGACATCTGTACTAACTCTGACACTGTATTCTATTTAATCAGTGTGCTGCTGTTAAAAACTTGGTCTTCATAAGACTTTATAAAGCATTTGATTTGAAAACAAAGGCTACTCTGTGATTTATTTTTGTATATATATTTTTTGTTTCACATAAAATCATTTGAACATAACGCATAAAACACGTTTAACCTCATAACAAAAAAAGTTCAGTTGTATTTCTGCCTTTTTCTTTTATTTTAGCTACGGTAGTTTCTTAATTTTGTATTGTCCTTTCATTTTTAAGGATATCAAACATAGCATTTTCTTCTCATACACTGTATTAAAGCTCCTTTTACATTTCTTTGTATCTCCAATAAAGTGTATTAAAAAAGTTTCAAATAAAAAAAAATTCCTATACTAGAAAATAAGTATTGCCAAACCATAATATTTAGACCGGCTTAATGTTCTGAGTATATTAGTTTTTGATATGCAATCACTTCTTTACTTTATTTATTTGTTAAAGGAAAGAAAAGTTTGAATCTGGTAAAGAAATATTGGTTTTATTGATATATATATATATATATATATATATATATATATATATATATATATATATATACACGTGTGTGTAATTTTTATAATTTGTATAGCACTTTTTGAAGTAAACATCCTGCACAGTGGAGGGGATATGTGGTTAATTTTTTGAAATGAATTTCATTGAAAAGATTTTACAAAGAACTACACAGAACATTAGACAGGTGGTCTGAAATAAAACATTAAACAATGAAAAGGAGTGTAAGAAAATAATTCTTTGGAAATCTCCAAAATATCTGTGGATGATTTGATCAGATTCAAACAATATAAATGGATTTCATTCCAGAAAATTTTGAAGTTTGGGCAGTTTTGGAATATTTATATTTGTGAAAGGAAATCTGCCATACAAAACGAGTAGGTTTGTAATAAAAGTAACAAAAGCTATTCTGATTGGTTGCTGGCTGGATGTTAGCCGTCATGACGTAATTTCCGCCTGTCAGCTCGAATACTTCCTGGAGAAGAAGGAAGACAACAATACGCTGAACTTACAAGAAAAATAAAAAATAGCAATTTTTACTTAAAGTCTCCACATAAAAAGCCAAACGCAGTCACAATGGTAAGACAATAGCTGCTAATATTCACCGCTGACGCTAAACGTGTATGAAAATAAGTCGTAGTTTTAGCAGTTTAGCTAACTAGCTGCTAACAACAACACAGACACAGAAAGATGCTCCGTCATCCTCGAGGTAAAGTTGTACCGTGATGGAACAAAGTTTTATTTTATTAACAAACTGTTTTTGACTTCACAGTTTTCCTTCCATCCTGTCTTTGACCACCCCATGGTCCGGGGATTTTCGAACCGTTTCTCTACCCAGTACCGCTGCTACTCGGTGTCCATGTTAGCTGGACCCAACGACCGCTCCGATGTGGAGAAAGGAGGCAAAAGTGAGTGTCGCCTATGAAAGTTTGCATGTCTCAAAAGAAACGAAGATGATTGAATGTTTTATTTTCAGACCTTATCACCACTTGCACGGCAGACTCTTGAGAAGTAGAAATATTTTATTGCTCTAAGGCAGGGGGAACCAATTCAAAATCAGCAGGGTCCGAATAAAGAAAATCATCAACCATTAAAGGTCCAGAGACATTTTTTAATTATCTGTTACTTTAAACAGAACTTAACACTGAAACAAAATGAGTTTTTTTATGCATCCATGTTTATACATTGACTTTTTAAATAAAACAATCTAAAAAAAAAAAAACAATTGAAAATTTAGCCATTTTAAAATCTAAACTGTTTTTTTGAAGTAGAGAACTACAATCGTTCAGTTTGGTATACAGACAATTTCCTGATTCACATATTTTATAAAACACCTGAATTGACTGTTATTTTTCTTTCTTTTTTCTGGCTTAATGAGAGAAGTGGGCTTTTTGCTGCCCTACAAGGCTTTAAACCTGGGTTTGAATGGCGACAAAGCCATTCTAAAGCATATATCAAAGTACTCATTTTGAGCCTGGATCCATGTTTATTTTTGATTTTGTTCATAGTGGAGAATCCTAATTCACAGCAGCAGGTTGAGCCAAACATACTCAAAATGTGCAGGGTCATCTTTGAGCACCCCATTTCACTTTTATGTCACCACATCACTGCGCTTCTTCCAGCAGTCTACACTTTCTTTCACGTTTTCTCATCATCGTTACCTACTGCCCGGCTTGTCACAGGTTTGCCTGCTGTGTCTAAAAGTCGCCAGCGGCAGCAACCCAGACTGACACAGCTCATTGGCTAATATGCATCACGTGTAGCCTGGTCCTGGAGGGCTTTACCGTACAAATAGGAGAAGCAGCGCAAGTGACGTTAGACACTGCTGTCTGACAACGTTCGGTAATTTCTAAATGTTTTATATCAGGTTGGGTCCGGAATAGCCAGCAGGTGGGTCCGGATCGAGACCCTGGTCCCCTAATCCATGACCTCTGCTCTATGGCAAATAATCCCCAAAAACAGACAATTTCTGTCATATATTTCCAATAAGAAAAAAGAAGCAGAAAGAAGACTGTTATTTTGTCTGCGTTAAATAAAAAAAAAAAGCAATCGAATACACATAAACGTAAATAGGCTTCGCTAAACAGTTTACAGCCTAAAGCAATGCATTAACAAACCACTGTGTTCAATTAAATCACATAATTTTTAGCGAAAATATAAATTTTATATATATAAAAAATAATGCATATGAGGGAAAAAGAGAAACCTCTTTATTTTGATACTGACTGAATATATTTTGTTTATACATATACATGAAAGAGTATTTAGTAGTTAGAATATTGCACGAGCTGAACTGTAAAGTATGTTTATCTTTTTAGAATAAAAAAAATACCTAAGTTATAAGTATATTCAAGTTGTGGAGGAGTTCGGCCTTAAATGTATATTTAGTATAGTAGTACACATTGTAAATTATAGTGCTTTAACAACGAAAAAAGAATAAATTTAACATTACATTTTGACTGATAATCAGAGGTGTAAGGAACTAATAGAGATAGTAAACCTTCAAGGGCTGCAGATATTAAAAACATGTTACAATACCTTCCATGTAAGAAAAATATAATTTTATACAATTTTGACATTGGTTAAAACATGACCCATTTTTGTTATCTAGATGTCTTTGTCCTGAATTATGTTTTTTGGGATAAGAGATAAAGAAGTTAGTTTCCTCAAACACCAACATTACAACGTATTTAGAACCAACAACTCAATCCAAATCTTTTATAATTTTGGGTTATTTGTATTTTTTTTTTGGTATCATAGTGCTTTTCATATTATTTGAGAAGAATGTTTATTTTCTGCAAAAACTAACAATTCCACTTGTATTTTTATAGTAATTATGCCACCTTCAGCGCTTGACCAGCTCAGTAAGTACAAGTCAAACAACGCTCTTCTCTGCTCCTCCATCGCATCAAATGATTCTAAATAATAGTAATTATTTTTTTCTTTTTATTCACACAGGTAGGCTTAACATCACCTATCCGATGCTGTTCAAACTGACCAACAAGAACTCGGACAGAATGACTCATTGTGGTGTTCTGGAGTTTGTGGCAGATGAAGGAATCTGTTACCTGCCACACTGGGTGAGCGCAAAACTAGCTGGATAGTGATGTTCGGCGCTCTGAATGGTCTATAGTGTATTTGCTCTCAAAACAATAGTATATCAATTTATTTAGAGTTAACAAAAATATGGTCTGATCCCACAACAGAGCTGAATATAAGGACTTCATACAGGCACTGTGGCGATTGAGATGAGATTGTCAGATTTATTGATTAGTTCCATTACATGAAGGACTTTCTCTCCTTCACAAAAGGTTTGCTCTATGCTTACACAGTTGGTGCCTCCTTTATAGAGACAAGTTTCGCTGGCCTTTCTGGTTTTCTTCTGCAGCTGGCTAATCTTTCTCTCCTCATTCCCGGTTCATTAAGGTCAGCTTTTATTTACATTGGATAGTGTTGACTCTAAAGTTGATAAATTCTCATTTATTTCTCATTAAAGAAGTTGGTTTCTCATTCCTTGAGCTGCTACAGTGGCGTTGGATGTAGGAGTTTGCCCTGAAATCGAAGGGTTGATGGTTCAAGCCCCGACTCCGACTTTCAGTGTCGTTGTGTCCTTGGGCAAGACACTTCACCTGCATTGTCTACTGATGGTGGTCAGAGGGCCTGGTGGCGCCAGTGTACAGCAGCCCCGCTTCTGTCAGTGAGCCCCAGGGCAGCTGTGGCTACAATGTAGCTTGCCACCATCAGTGTGTGAGTGTGTGCGTGAATGGGTGAATGAATGAATGAATGTAGTGTAAAGTGCTTTGGTCAAGTTTCCTAACTTGAATAAAGGCGCTATATAAGTACATACCATTTACTATATTAAACGGTGACGAATAAGAAGACAGAAAAGTATGTTTTTTTCTTTTTTGAGTCTATGAGTGAATGAGAATGCCAGAAAATCTTGAAAAGATCGCTAGCTTATCAATACTTAATGTAGCAACAAATTTGGTGTAGATGAGGGAAGATTTTCAACAAAGCTAGTGTCTGAATGATTTCTGCCACAGTGCTGGGGCTGTGGTTACAGAGGGTGGAGCAGTGGAGACATAAGGCTGCACCTCTACAGCTGGACCTGGTTGGCATGCATCCACCAGGCTGCTGTCCTATCCTCCTTTCACCCCAACATCATTTTGAGATAAAAATAATCTTAATACAGTTTTTGTTTTCAGCTACAACACATACAGCAATCAGTCAGATCTCCAACTCTCCCTCCCACACGCCACAAAGCACTCTCTTCTAGATGCTCTTGAGAGTTTTTAGCAGAAACCAATCACATTTGCAGCCCCTATAATGCTGGATGGGTAACTTTTCCAAAACTTTTGAAAATCTTTTCAAACTGTTGGAGCAACAAACAGTTTATGTTGATCCTGTGTAGCTGCCTGAATACACTCTAAAGCACATGACCTTCAGTGTGGCAGATAGGATAAACCTTTAATCACAGAATCTTAAAAACAGACACAAAAAAAAAAAACAATCAGGAACTGTAAAACTACTGTCAACTACTCTGAAACATTTGATTTTGTGTTTTTCTTTCACTGCAGATGATGCAGAATCTTCTGCTGGAAGAAGGTGGTCTAGTTCAGGTGGAAAGTGTCAACCTCATGGTGGCTACATATTCAAAGTTTCAGCCACAGAGTCCTGACTTCCTGGATATCACAAACCCCAAGGCCGTGTAAGAAATCAATATATTTTATAATTATCATTTTTTGTTACGTTTACCTATTAGGTTCCTAATAGTCTGTCCATTTTAGCCTGGAGAACGCTCTGAGGAACTTTGCCTGCCTGACAACTGGTGATGTCATAGCCATAAACTACAATGAAAAGGTATATTTAATCATTCCAAACTTGCTATTGTTAGGCTGTTTATGATTTTTAATAAAACTGTGTTTGCTTCAGATCTATGAGCTGCGGGTTATGGAAACAAAACCAGACAAAGCTGTATCCATCATCGAATGCGACATGAATGTAAGATTGTTTTTTTTTACTATATTTTATTGTTATAGATGTACGCTGCCTCATTCATGTTTTCACCACTCACCTCAGGTGGATTTTGATGCTCCTTTGGGTTACAAAGAACCTGAGCGACGGGCTCAGAACCACGATGAACCAACAGTAAGACACAAACCTTAAAACTGCACATTTAATGATCCGAACAATGTGGTAAAACCTGGTTCTTTGCAGGAAGAGGAAGGAGACCCCAGCAGTTATGCTGACATGGATACTGGATTCAGAGTAATTTCTTCCTGCTGTTAGACTGATGAGACAAATGAGTATTAATCAAGGTTTAGTGAAAGAACTGATCTCATTGTTGCTGATGTTTTGCCAGGCTTTTACTGGCTCTGGAAATCGACTGGATGGAAAAACGAAAGGGATTGAACCCAGTCCTGCTCCTCTCACTGCAAGTGACATCAAAAGGTTAAAACAATCAAATTCTTCATGCTGTAAAATGTTTTTAAAATAACTTTTTTTGTTAATTGAGGAAAGACCTCAATTTTTTTTCAGTTTTAAATTTCTTAATTTTCAATAGAGAAAAGAACATGATTTTAGATAACCTTCCAGTGTCAGTTAGCACTAACTACAAACAATGATTCATACAGACATTTTTAGGCTTTAAAGTAGAGGTAAATCTAACTTTGTTTGATTCATAAAAAAGCTGGATTTTTGGATCTCACTGGAAGAAAGAAAAAAAGGTGTAGGGGTTCATTCAAAATAGAAATTTCAGAATATTTATTGGTGTTCTACAATATATGATAAACTGTGGTTCAAAATGGATCATGAAAAAGTTTCCAAACTCCTTTCCCTTTTCCTGTTTGTATTGTAAATGCAGCCGCCTAGCCATTTTTAAACCCATTATGTGTCCGTTAACAGGCCTGGTTCTGTTTGTGTAGAATTCCTCCTCCATGCTAGCTGCCCATTTATCTCAGCATCTGCCTGTCAGACATTTAATTACTGGAAATGTCAACCCTGTAAATTGACATACAGATGTTTATAACGTTAATAATTTTTATGTTTAGAACTAAGTAATGTCCTTACACAAACTGGTACTTATGGGCAATTAGAAGAAGCCAGTTAACTTTAGTAATATTGTTGGAACTGTGGGAGAAGGCCCAAGTCGAAAAAATTCCTTTAATGTTATTTCCTTGTAAGTTTAATATTACATAAAACTTTAGGAAAGAGTAGTGTGTAGAAACAATAAAACCTTGTTTCATAGTTTGAGTGCATGCTGGACTAAGAAAGTCTAAAATGCATTTTTGAAATCTTGATATACAATCTTTCATTACAGAGGTATTCCAAATTATGACTTCAAAGTTGGCCGGATCACCTTCATCAGAAACTCCAGGCCTCAGCCCAAGAAAAATGTTGAAGATGTGAGTAGATAACTGTCATTAGATGTTTAAAATTACTTAACCCCAAAGTCATTTTGTCGATTGTAAAACTTTTAGGTGTACCTCAGCCTTTTACATGAGCACTGATCTCCTAGATTTATTAATGCTCTCTAAATTTTTCTTTTTTTCTTCTAGGATGATGCTTTGAACAGATTTATTGCTTTCTCTGGACAAGGACAGTCACTGCGCAAGAAGGGCAGAAAACCTTGAATTATATTAAAGAGTTTCTCTGGCTTTTGTGACATCTTCAACAGCATGGTTTAATTTAACACACACGCACATTTGGCTTTTCCCTTGTGTGCGTTTTACGTCTGAACTTTGCAGTTGATTTTTTGATTATGTTTTGAACATAAACTCTGGCGGTAACATGCTGCATTGGTTAAACACTGTCACTAAAAGTTTGTGTTCACAGGTCCATGGATTTGAGCCAGACTCTATAGACAATATATCTTACTTAAAGAATAGGGCAAGGTTTATTGTTGGAATAGTATGACTTAATTTTGCTTTTACCACGTTTTTCCAGATTTGTTATTTATTAACAAGTCCTCCTAAAAAACACTCTGTTTTCAGGATCCTGTTCATAGTTTAAACGATGGGTACAGTCATTTTATTTTGTATACGCATATGAACAATTATATCTTGGAATGTGTTTTTTTTTTCCTTTTTTTTTCTCCCCACAGTTATAGCGTTGATTTGCTGACATTCTTTCCCTGGATTATTTATAAAAAGACAAATAAAAATCCTTTGTTTTGAAATTGTTTGCAGTTATTTATATGACTGACATGAAAATATGTTCCATATTTTCATGTCAGTCATGTATGAAGGAAACTATATTATGTTGAATTTACCTGGATAATAAACTTATTAAGCTATGAAATTAAATTAGTTCTGGTGTTTGAAGTTATAGTGGATGACTAAAGGTAAACGGCAAATTGCTGCTTAAAACCCCAGAATGGAAACTGGAGTATATAAATTTAAAGACTATTCTAACAAATGTACCTAAAGTTGATTTAATATTGTTAAAGTTAATTATAATTCAGTAGGATATTTTCATATTGTGTGCTTTTAATTTGAAAAAACTGAAACCGGAAGCACTTCCTATGTTGCCTGTTAACCATGGAGCGGCCTGCAGAAACCACTTGGAGGGTAAATTATCAAGAAATGCGATTGATATAATTTAGAACTAATACATTTTTTTTTTTATCTTTTTAGTAATTGCTTGTGGCTTTTTTTTTTTGCGAGACGGAATCATAGTGAGGAGTTAAGTGCCTAGCTATCGATGCTAAATTCTCCGTAACCCTGACCACTAGTTAGCGAGAGGAACATTTAGAATAAATGGGAGGTGTGTCAATGAGTTTTATTTAAGTATGTTGAGGTATCAGTTACTCGTGTTTACTTAATGCTTATCAATGTGTGAATAAAAAGAAAAAGAACTCGATAATCTCAGAAAAACTACGTCCAAGTGCAGTGACGGACGCCAGGGGGCGCTGTTTAGAGGTTTACTGCGGATGTTTTCGAATTCAAAATAAGTGATATTAGTTTATCTGTTTTTAAGATACTCGTTTCTGATACGTCTTTGTATTAGAAGTTATTTTTATGCATTTATTTTAATCTTATCAATAGCTGTTGAAAAAGAGTTTCTGACTTTCATTTTATTTATAGTAAAACACAAATATGTGTTAGTAGCTTGAAAAACAAAAACAAAAAAACCTTCAGGAACAATTAAATGATTCTTTGTCCTGTTGAATGATCAGTCTTTAACTTGGCATCTAGCAGATAAATGCATTTTGCTAATATAACTCCAGAAATGTCAAGGTAACAAGTTGAACCACTGCAAAATGCTCGAGTCATGTGATGGCAGCTCAAGCCCACATCATCATACTTCTTCCACTATGTTTGATAACTGTATGAGCTGCTTGTACTGATGGAGCCTTTTTAGTACCCTTTTTATTACGGTCTTTCAGTTATGTGGTCTTCTTTTAATCAGCCAATTATTAAAGAAAAATGATTTTAATTTCATTATAAACTATAGTATTCAACACACAAAAGTGAGAAATGTAATCATAATTGGCATTTCTTGGGGGGAACTTGAGCTTATGGGTGATTAATGAACTTTAAATATTGTACTAAAAGCATTAGAGCTCCTCCCAGATTTCTAATTTCTGATGTCTCCATCCTATCTACTATTGTCCTCAAAATCCACAGCAGTGAATGCTCATTACTGTCGCTTCCTTCTAAAGCCAAACTACATTCTTTGTTCTTGGGTCTCTGCAGCCACCCCGAGCTTGTGAAGATTACTTGAGTGAGTTCAGGCACTGCAAAAGTTTCAGGAATCGTTTTCACCACTTCTACGCCTACGGCACCGCCCTGTCCTGCCAGCAGTGGAAAGTGGACTACCAAAACTGCAGGGAATGGGAAAGTCACAGACTCGGAGAGGCTAAGGTGCAGCTTCACAATACAATCTTCTATAAAAAGACCTGAATATATACTACTCTTAAACCCCTACAGACCATGAAGTTTTATTAAAAATTTAACTTTGTTTTTACATTCTAGGATGCTCTACAGAAAAGTGAAAGAATGCGATTGGCAGAGCAAGGAAATTTCACCCCAGTGTGGAAACTAAGGCAAGAGCCTCCTAGTGACTGGCACAGACCTCTGGACCAGGAAGACCAACAGAACTGATTGGACATGCCTACAATATGAACTAATGAAATCTGATGTAGATAATACGTAGAATGCTGCTACATCTAAAATGATCTATGATGTTGAATTGATTTTTGTACAGAACACATTTATGGAAAGTTTGTTAAACATGGTAGTACAGAAGAACTGATTTAAATTTAGCTTCATGTATTACCCCTAATTTAAGGAGGTATTTAAAATTGAAGTCGTGTGCTCTGCTTTATTTAAGGGTAAATTCTAAAGCTGCACTTGAATTAAAACTTTGTATTACTGGGGATCAGTCTAAGGTTATTTGACCTGCCTTGATATCCTAATGTTTATGGTAAAATTATGCACTGTGGGGCCAGGATAATTACAGGGTTTATGCAGAACTACAGCTAAATAGCTTTTATCAGTAATGAGTACAAAAAAATACACCCTCAGAAATAAAACCCATTAAATTGAAGGGACAGAAAGTCTAAAAGTCTATTGACACCCCAACGTATTGATGTTAAACAAAGGTAGCTATGATGTGTGATTTGGAGTCTCTATAGGTGAATTCATCATTGGTCTAAATTGAGAAATCAGTCACTTCAAAAAAGGAACCATTTGAATAAACAAACTTTAATTTTCAACATTTTCGAGGTCTGAATAAAAACAACTTATGAGTAATTATGTACCAGAGCCATATGTTTATATAAACGGTAAGGAAACAGTTAGCAACATATTCATCCCAATGGCCTTCGCAGACGGATTAAAAGGCAGGATCCCAGCCTGATGAATTATGTTTAAATATCAAACAAAGACAGGCAGCAGCCACAGGTTTTCACTGAGTGTACACTTTGGTGACATCATTGTACTTTCCATCTGGAGCCTCATAATTTGGGATTGGAGGCGTGTAGGCAGGGCCTTTATGAGTGAAAGGAAACAGTAGTGGATCTGGCTTCAGCGCTGCCTGGTAAAGCTCGATGGATTCCAATTTAAGCTCCTCCAGCGCCTCCCTCTGTGCCTCCAGGGCGAGTTCAATGGCTTCCACTTCAGCCATGTGTTGTTTCTGCAAAGCAAAGACAATGTCATTTCCACATCTCTAGGTATTCATGATATAGACCAGACAGAAAAAGCTACATTCAGTAAACAGGGTGTCTGTAGGTTCTTGAGTCACAAAAGAAATATTTTTAGATCTTTTATTCAGTTTTCCATTAAGGTTTTAATTGACATTTAGTTGTTTATAAAACCTTTAGGAATGAAGTATCAGAAAATAACCTGTTTGTATCGACTCCACTCTTTCAGAAGAAGTGCTCGACTCTCACTTTCTTCAAATGAAAGCTTTGGAGGACTGCGCTCTCTATGTGAAACAGGAGAAAAAAATTCAGGGAAAGTTAAATATTAATTTGGTTGAGTTCTTGTGTGTGCAGTTTTAAACTAAGCCTGACCTTGTTTCATCCAAACACTTGGTGGGAGTGATGAAGTCCTCTATGGGGATGAGTTCAGGTGGAACCCTTTCCAGTTTCTTCAGCTTCTTCTTCAGTCGCTCCCTCACCATCTGCTCCCTCCGTGGGTCTGCTTTCTTCTTCTTTTTTGGCTCCGCTCTTAATGCAACATAAACCACATCTCTGCATGAGCATACTTTTGACCAGATGTATATTTTCAGTAATGTTATATTATAATCAGTAATGTTGCAGGTAGAATTTGAGGATTAGTGATTTCATGAAACACCCAATTAAGAATAACTTGTTCTATAATAACTTGTATGTAAAATCCTTTGACCTTTTACATTATTATACTACTATGCAATACATACGTTTTACTTTGTAAAATTTGAAAAAAAAAAAAAAGACGGATCTCTTATTTTACAATTTCTTAGAATTTCATTCAAACATTTTGACATTTTCAAAATGTGTCGTTTTCTAAATAAATGTGATAGTTTCGATAAGAGACTTTTAATTCCAATTCTATTAATGCTTTTTGTTTTGCCAAGCATTTTTGTCAACAAGTATGCCAACACAATGATGCAGCTAGTTGCAACTTATTACAAAAAACCTTGATTTTAATAAAATTAAAGAAATGAAAGTGATTATTTTTATACAGAGTGATTTAACTCCAGCATTTATCTGCAAAAATCTGTTTTTTTAAATACAAACATTACAAAACACTTATAAATAATTGAATTTAATACAGAGAACTGCTGACCTGATAAGTGTTCAGCAGACACTGATAAACACCCTCTACCAAAGGGAAGGTCCTCAGTGCTGTATCCAAGCATACTAAAGGAAACCTTTGGTGTAATCAGGGGTGTCAAAGTCGTTCCAGAAAGGGCCGTGTGGCTGCTGGTTTTCTTTCCACCCAAGCAGTAACACACCAGACTCCATTCATCTCATCAATTCATCAGGTTAGTCTGGTGTGCTACTGCTTGGGTGGAAAGAAAACCAGCAGCCATACGGCCCTTTCTGGAACGACTTTGACACCTGTGCTGTAATAGAAGTGGATGCTCACACACAGCAGGGATAGCTGAGCCCATTCAAGCTGGAGTCAGGGCTTCAAAAGCCATCACATAGACACATCCTGGACATGGGTTACTTGTAATAAAAGCATCAGAAATATTTAGCCTTGGCTAAAGAAAAAAGGAACTGAATGGCTGTTTTTGAAACCCATATTTTATTTTCAAATAAAGGTAAATTTTGCATATAATTTGAAATTCAAGGCTTGACCGATCAATAAACTTTCCTAAATTAGACTCTGGTAGAGAACCAATTAAGTATTGTTGTTGTTAAAAAAAAACGTTAAAAGTATTTTTTTTTTTTTCTTAGATAGGGGGATGAAACATTTAATGGAACCAAAGGTTAGAACTGCGTCTATGTGTAAACAATGCCTTTAAATGCATAATTAACTGAGATAAATTATTTTGATATCTTTCAAATCTATCTGTAGATCCCAGTCTCGACTAAATTAGACTTTAGACAGATTTTATTTGCCATTTTGTTTACACAAGTGTAAAACCAAAAGAAATTTCGTTTGGAAACAGCTCGGCAATTTCATCTTTTAAAAGTGCAGCCTTGGAAAAATAGTAAAAATGAAGAAGTTCAATTCATGAGGAAATAGTTGATTCTTTTGATTCCTTCCCCGCCAAACAAAAAGAAAATAATTGTTGTGTTTTAATCTGCCTCGACTGTCAAACCTGAGTGGTGCAGATGTCTTCAGCGTGACCGCAGGTGAAAACCAGGGACTCAGCACAGCACCTTTATATAATCCAGAATGCAAGCTGCAAAACAATATAACAACAGCACCAATTAGCGGATGGCATGTGCAAATCGTGAAAACAAACTTTCATCACTGGTTTAGCTTCACCTCTCTTCTATTTAACCTTGTATTTATTCCGACACTTAGGAACCGCATCCTGTTACAAAAAACTCACCGTGACGAGGTAGTCTGTCGGGATAAAACCCCACAGATGCAGCGTGAAACAACCAGAGACATGTCTCCACTTCTATTCGGTCCAATTTACTCTAATTATTTCAAACACAACCGTAAACAAAAGTCTTCACATGTCGCCTCACTTGTGTCCCCTTACAGAACACAACAGGGACCAGGCGCAAAAAGATGACGTAATAAGCGAGGCGCTTTTATCATTCACCTTTCGCATTTTCGAGCATTTTGAAGCGCATACAAAACCTTTAAACGTGATAAATTGGAAGATAATTGCGATTTATTTAAACAATTACATGTGAATACGTTGTGAATTTATTCATACTCTGTAAAGGCGTTAGGTAGATTTTAGTTTATTAATTAATTTCCTATTGAATCTGCGGGAATAAAACACACAGCCAGAGCTTTATTTAGGGTAAAGGTCAGCTGGGCGCTTCTTTCTTATGTCCACCGTGGACAGATCAGGAGCCAGAATTAGAAAGGGCATCGATTTCGAGGTTCCAACTGTCCAAAAGATTATTACTGAACCAACATCATGGCGCTTATCAGAGGTAAACTGATATTTTTTTATTCTGCACGATACTAATAAAACACGGAGGCTAGTTTTTACTCTTTGACAACAACTGTATAGTTTACGCTTTTTTTGTGCACAGGTGCATAAAGTCAATAACATATTAGTATACAGCTGTGTAAAGTGGAGCTATTTATGCAAATATATTAATGAAACTGCTTAAAAGTTTTCTTGAATTCAGCGTTAATTTAAATTGGGTTAAAGGTTACTGGACATCTTTGAGATGATTACCAGGGCTTTGCTCTTCTTTTGTCTTATTTTATATCATTAAAAACGTATTTTATGCCTTAATTATTAAAAACGTATTTTATGCCTTAATTATTATAAGATTTCATATGACTTAGGTTCTTTACACTTAGGCTAATAGAAACTATGATTAGTAATGGTTTGACCTACTAAATGTCCTTTTTTAAATTTAAATAAAGATTTTTCTCCTATATGGATCAAATAAAACAAAAAAGAATAAACCTGCAAAAATAACAACAACAAATGTCTTAGAACAAAATCTCAAGCAAACATATCATGAACATTAGAAAATAAGGAACCAGACTCAAAGATTTTTCTTTTCTTTTTGTATAATGAGTAACAAAAGCTGGAGATGAAGCTTTTCTATTAGTTTTAAAGGCAGGAGGAGATACAACCTTCCATGAATGCAACCTAATTTCACTGTAAGTAGGTTAAAGGTAACAGGATAGTGTTAAAATCATTGACTTTTTTTTTAGTTTGTTTGTTTTCTCCTTATTATGACTTCATTCTATACTAACAATTTTAAATAAAAAAAGATATGTCATAACCCTGTTAAAAAAAGAATAAAAAATACAATTATCTGAGTTTTAGGTCAGTTTGTCTTTTAGACAGCATGTGTTATGTTACATAACAGCGAACAAAATTCACAGATGCAAATGGTGAAGATAATGTTTATCAAAACTTGTTAGTGCCAAGTCTGGGTTAAGGTGTGGCTTCTGCTCTGTATTGCAGGTTACACAATGATTTATAGGTAAGAAAAGGAAAAATAGTTGTCTTCATAATTAGATATGTAGAAAAGTATTATTAAGTTAATCAGAAAGGAATTATTAATTTAATCATAACTGGATAGTTCCATGTAAAACTGAAACTTTTTTTATTGTGATTAATCGATTATTTAAATATCAGTTAAACTTTTTATTAAGTAAGTAATTAACTCAACTCTAAAACATAGTATTTGCTTAAAGAATAACCCATTCAGAGCAGTAACTAGGCCAAAACTATGCAAACAATATATATATTTTGTGTTTCTGAAAAAAGAAAAACCTTCTTTCCCTGTCAATATTCTCTAACGAGAATTCCTCAAGCAGCACAGTTTTAGCTTCACCTGTTTCAAATTTTGTAAAAAAAAAACAAAAAAAAACAATTAAGCACATTTTACTCTTCAATTTTAATTGGTCAACCGTAGCTGGGCAACAACTCAATATATAGAAAGTGAGGAAAAAAGGTGTCCCCTAACAACTATACCAAGCATGGTTGTTGGCAGGGCTGACCCATTTCTGAATGTTAAATGTTTAAATAAGCTTAGGGCTGCACTTCATATTTTGGCGTTTCCCCCTAATATTTACTTTAAACTGAGGGAAAAAAAAAAAACACAAATCAAAAACTATCTATCGACTGACGTTGAAAGGCTTCTATTATGATAGATTTTTAAACATATCGATATTGCACAGCCCCTTTAGTGAAATGATGTGAGGTTGAATGAGGAAAATTCATGTTGGATTAGGGAACCTTTGTGTTATCCCAGCAACATCTAAAAACTTACTAAAAGCTTAAATAATTTTTTATATTTATAAAGAAACATTTCTAAAAACAAACATTCTATGTGAAGTGTTAGCTGAAAGCCATATAATTGGAAAACAGATCTTTATGTTCGACTCAACATGGCATAACTTAAACACACAAAGTTCTAAAGAATTTAACTGATTTATTTTTTATTATTTCAGCTGTAATGTCTGTTTTTAAATGTGTATACATTTCTGTTCATATCTTAGGAAGTTTATGGTTTAACAAGGGAAAACTTTTTATTAACATCAAGGAGTTAGTTTGTCAAAAACAACAAATACATATACGTAGATTATAGAACAAGAAGTTACTTTAATATCTTAAATAAAGTGATTTTCTTTTTCTGCAGGTGTTTTTATTGTAGCAGCCAAGCGTACTCCATTTGGTACGTATGGTGGAGTCCTGAAGGATCATAGCGCCACAGACCTGGCTGAGCATGCAGCCAAAGCTGCCCTTGTTGCCGGCTCTGTGGCACCAGAGCTTATAAATAGCATCATTATGGGAAATGTCATGCAGGTACGCTGGCTGGTATTCATGGAGGTTTTCTGTTCTTTATGGTTTTCCCTAACTATACCTGTGTGTGCTTCCCCAGAGTTCAGCTGATGCTCCATATATTGCTCGTCATGTTGGTCTGAGGTGTGGCGTTCCCATTCCAGTTCCTGCCCTTACTGTGAACAGGTTGTGTGGATCTGGTTTCCAGTCCATCATAAACGGCGCTCATGTAGGCATCGTTACAAACATCTAAAGAAAACATTCTTGCTTTTTACACTCTTTTTGTCTGTTCTGTTTCCCCTTAATCTAATCTAGCAAAACAACACAGTTGTTTTCTGCTTTTAGTCACATTTGATAGTATTTTCTACATTTTATGTTGACGAAAAAAGTTTAAATAAATTAATTCATAGCCTTTGAGAATGCATTTATATTTGAAATGCTTAGTCTTAATCTCCATAGACATTCTTTACTCTTAGTGGAATACAATAGGGGAGTGGCAGCAGCGCTGCCCGGGCGCCACGTAATGGCAGCCCACTGTTCCCCAAAGGGATGCGTTAATGCAGAATTTGTTGCTTTGTACTTGTAACAATGTAATAACAATTAAGTTGAATTCTATTCTTTTTAATTTCAAATATATCTAACTCCAAAGTTTGTCATGCCTCTACTTGGAGAGCATAAGATAAGATTGTGGTCATTTTATGTGTTTGTAGGAGATTTGTCTGAAAGAGGCAGAGGTGGTTCTGTGTGGAGGCTCAGAGAGTATGAGCCAGGCTCCTTACGCTGTCCGTAACATCCGCTTTGGGACAAAGTTTGGACTCGACCTTAAGGTACATTCCCAGCCGTTCTACATGCACAACAAGGCATGTTCTTTAATCATAATTGAAACACAAAAAGCAAGAAAAAAAGCGAGAAAAAAACCAGGGTGAACAACATCCCAAACCACCAGTGCCAAATTCATTGGTGCTACCAGCCATTCTCTGCACAGTTGATCTTTGTCAGTCTGACAGCACATTTATCTATATTTTACAAGGTTTAAACATACAGATATTCTAGCCCCTCTCTGCATAATGTTTTTAGAGCCTCATGAGTAGTTTGAGGCTCTTGTCTGTTTAGCTGATTCGCAGGTTTTCATGCTGTTTGGTTCTGTGACTTAAAGGGAGACGCCGTTTTTTTACATTGGTCCTTCCTTTAATGTTACGAGAGAAAGTTGATCTGGGCCTGGTGAAGCATTTCTGTGTTTTTGCCTTAATCCTACTGGAACATCAAATACCCACCACTTTTTTTATAATCTTTTAGTAACAACATTTTCAGGGTCTTTAAAATTTTAAAACATGCCCATGGAGTCACATATATTCCTCCATTCTTTACAGCCATTTGCTTTATTGCCTCGTTGAATATTTGCTTTGATCCTAAAAGATTAGAGCTCATCTGAAGGTCCTGGTTTCAAGTGTCTGAGTAGAGTTAAGCAAACTCCTCATAGAAGGTAGATAGAAAGCGATAGAAGGGTAGAAAAGGCCTATTCTATTCAGGACTCAATAATGAGGAGCCGGCATGTGAACCAGGTGACCCTTGACTAACCCTGATTTTCTGCATATCTGTAACAAAAAGCACAGGCAGATGTTGACCTATGTTCATCCAGCTCATTGTGCGTCAGGTTAGTGGCTAAGAGAGTTAGTCGCTGTTTCATCTCATATTTATACCTCATGGAAAAAAAATATTTTTAAAATATCTACAAAATATCTTTAGTTGCATTTATTTTGTGGGGACCGTTGGATGTTTTTAATACTCTCCCTTTGTTGATTTCAATTTTTAAAATGTTTCCTTTTCATCCGCTGAATGAATCAACATAAAGGTTAGATTTTCTTCTGAAATTCTAAATGCTAGGTTTTGCCCTGCTAAAATATTTAAATTTATTTTGAAGCTTTTTTAAACATCCTTTCCAGGGATTACATGAAAAAAAACTTTTCCTCCATCATAAAAACACACGCCCTTTGATGTTAAAAAAGCAGGTTGTTTTCAGAGGTTAAACTTGTCGTCATATGTCTGACAGCTGGAGGACACTTTGTGGGCGGGTCTCACCGACCTTCATATCAAGACCCCGATGGGGATCACTGCAGAAAACCTAGCGGAGAAATATCAGATAACACGAGAGGACTGCGACAACTATGCATACCAGACCCAACAGAGATGGAAGGCAGGTGAGCCGACAGATATTATGTTTATATCATCCTTTTATACCGATTATTTGATTTAGCTCCTCTGTTTCTGTGTTGTTGAAGATAGAAA